GCTTGACCAATCTAGGGGCCTCATATGGTGAGTGACAGCACAGCGGACAAGGGAATGGCAAATGTTGTTGTCTACTTTGCACATATACTTTATATTATTTTCTCTATTTTGTCATCAATTAAAAAAAGACAATAAAAAGCCTTCATAGCCAGCTTTACTCTCTGAGCAGCTGTGTAATCCGTAAACTTCTCAATCTCACTCTCTACCATTTTGATACATAACTTAAATATCTGGTAGAGTACAAGCCTAGCGTTTATCTCTGTGGTAATACGTGGGAACCAGCCACTGCTACAAAATGTTGCTGTTCATTCCTGTCTTTTCTTTCCTACCTTTTAACTGGGGGTCTGTTTATTAGTACACCTTCTCTCTTCTCAAGAGCCTTTAAGAATCTCGTTGAAACTTTGGCCAAGTATACTATACCAAATAAATCACCTTTGCTCACATGCTCATTGACTTTTAGAAAGAACTCTAATCAACTGCTATCTCATAAGTTCACTTTACGAGAATCACCTCAGCCTTTTCCCAGGGCATTGTACTGTCTCTTAACTATACTCATTATCTTGGTTTCTACTGGTCTGCTTTATACAAACAGATGTGGAGATTGGTTGGAGTGGATTTTGCAGCAGAATTGGAATGACCAGTGATGGCTGAGTTACTTGAGGCTGTCAAAGGATATAGTCCTGAAAATAAGCATTTGGAAAACTCATAAGCAACCAGTCTTCTTCTTTCTGATTAATTGTCAGGAGATTGACCCTGAATGAACTACTGTGGCTGTGTAGCATGCTGCTATGAAGAGGTATCCTCTCTAACAACCACAAGGGTTGCTATCCACAGAAATTTGGAAACAACTACAAAAATGGTGTTCCCTGCTTCTAGCATGCACCTTTTGTCTCCATACCAACCCAGTGAGTTTAGAAAAGAAAGACTTTTCTGTTTCTCTGCTGAATCTTACCGTCTGCTATGTTGATTAATAATAACATGAGTCTGCTTGGGAAAGACTGTGAGTGAATATTCATAAACTGTTATCCGTTTTCCCTAGTGAAAACTGAAAAAAAAAGAAGTAGTTTTCCAATGTGGTTAGTAGTATGAACATAAATGCTATTAGCATTTCTCTTCTATCCTCTTACAGTCATGGTTAAGGAAGCCTTTCACTGGGCAGGAGAAAAATCACTCCTATTTCATCATTATTTATGCATTTCCAGTGTGACAGTGGGTTTTCTCTATAGGAAGTGGAACAGTAGGCAGAGAGCCTGAGCTATACAAGCAGTATATGCTTTGAATTATAATAGAGCACTGTGCCTTGCATAAGGCTGAGACTAAAGGTTAGAGCTCGGGGTCTCTGGACAGAGGTTCAAGGATTTCAAGACAGGTCGAACAGCCTGGGGGATGTCCTCCTGAGCATGAGCTGCCAGCAGTACATAATCTGAGATGCTTGGAGCACTGGCTCCAAGGAGTGAAAATACTGTTTTTCAAACACAACTTGGATTTTTTTTTTTTTTTTTCTGAAATGGAGTAGTACATGTCAGTCCTAATGTGTGGGAGAGCTCAGTGTGCTGCATCAGAGGGACCATTTTGCAGCCTGCCTGTGCTTCCATGGATGTTGATCCTTGTTTGCCTGTAGCACAGAAAGGATAGTCTAGGTGAGAGCCTTTGCCTATAGGTCCAGAAAGGTTTTCTGTGCAGTGCCTGCATTCTTTTCCCTCAGTAAAATTTTATTCTTGTCTTTCCAAGTGTGTTCTCAGTGTGAATGCTTCAGCTTTTAGAATTAGCAGTTTCATTACATAGATTTGTCATGAATTTTAAAATCAGTGGATGAGAAAAAAATAAGATGCTTAATCAGTAAACAAGAAGTGGCTTTACTAAGTAAATAAGATAAGCCTTTGTTGTCCTTAATGTGCATCAAAATAAATATCACCAGAGGTGCATGCACAAATAATTTAGAGACCATTTTGAGCAAAGTGAAGAGGGAGATGAAGAGCAATATATTTTTGTAAATAAGGATGAGTTAAAGGTAATATTAGAGCTTTTTGTGGGAAGGTTTAGGGATCACCCATATATTGAGGGTCTCTATCAGACTCATAGGGTCTCTGTGCTGTGCCAGACCAAGTTGGCAGGGGAGCCAACTGCTGAATGCTTTTTCCTGGTAGGACAGGAGTAGGCACTGGCAGTGTCAGGGCTGGCAGAGCTGTGTGACATGAGATGCCAGAAGTAAGGGGAGGCAAAGAGCTGGCAGCCTTGGCAGATGGTTCTTTACAATACTAATAATGACCTATTGTGAATGCCCCTGAGCTGCCACACTGTCTCCATAGCCATATCAGTCGCCCTCTCTGTTACAGCCTGACTGTGCTTTGTTATCTCGAGGCTGCTTTCTGGCAGCTACCAGCTCACACTGAAACCCTTTTTCTATCTCTAGTACTTCTATAAAGCCTTTCTTCACTCTTACGCATTTACTTCCACTTGTCCTTCACTTTCTCTTGTCTGAAAAACACTCTGTGAGTCAGAAAGCTGGAGACTACTTTGAGACCCCTGAGCTTTGTGTTTCTTTCTTTTTCATTTATTTATTTAGTTAGTTAGTTATTTTTTTTTACTTTTCAGTTCAGCTAAACCTGGATGATGGTTAAGCTGATGCCTCTGAAAATGTTACAGGTGCTGTGTTTGAAAAACTTTAGAGGCTGTTACCAATCCTGAATTTTGTTTTCATCCTGTAGTTTTCACTGACTTACAGTGCTGCTTGAAACCCTGGGAAATTTCAAAGATACGTCTTTCTCCAGATTCTCTCTGAGGTTCCTTAACATGGATACTCTTGTCTAGCTCATAGAACTACTGACGTTCATACTGGGTTGCTGATATGATTGCACAAAGTGGCTGAGCAGCAAAGAGCCAGTCCTGCTGCTGCTGCAGACTGGCATATTTCCACTGGAGCTCATTTTGTTTCATAAAGCATCGGTTTAGATGAAAGAAAAAAGTAAGTCATGATTCAATAGAATACTTCTTAGGGCTTGATTTCTTTGTATTGGTAGCCTCTATGCTAACACAGTTGGTGTACGTTTGAAGATTGCCTCATCCACTAGGATGCACATATTACCTTGAAATATATGCTTAATATGCAGAATGACAATACCTGCAGCATTTGTAGTCAGCAGCAGCAGTTCACTGGATTAAGAGGTTGAATGTTTCAGCCAACACACAAGCAATTACTCACAGTGCTCTATGAAGTTTGCAGTGTTTTAAGTCCACTTTCCCCTGACCCAGTGATAACCAGGAATTAACAGACGTGCAACATCTGTGCATCAGTGGCACATTAGGTTCTCCATAGTTAGTATCACTCATTTCCTGTGGGAAATGGAGGCTCACGATACTGATGACAAAGTGTTGAGGCTTCCAGCACCAATATTAACCATGCATTTTACTGACAGATCCTTTCTTCATTTTTAGTGGAGCATTTCCAAGACACATGATTTGTGTCTTGCTGCTACATGCTTTCTACACACAGTGCTTAAGGGATAATCCCAAATGCACTGTAGTATACAGAGCAATAAATGGCTGCTGAGATTAATAGACTGAGCAAAGCTGAAACATTTAATCAATCTCCAAAAAAATACTCATTGCCAGAATATTACAGGCAAGATAATTTACTCCTCCTCACATGCAACAAACCCTAGCAGGGAACACCAATGTTTCTATGTGCCATGAGGACTTAAACTCATGAGCTGTTCCCTTAACATGACACTCCTGTATGAGGTGGAGATGAGGGGACAGGCTGCAGTCCTAGCTAAGCAAGGAACAGATACAGTAACATCCAAACTGCATAAATGTGCTAAGGGTAAAGGTTTCCATGCTTTATGTGGGAAGAATAATGATGCCTTATTTCTCTGTGCCATGATATCTTTGCTTAAAACAGAAGAATAATAACAAGCGTATTTCTTGGTGAAAGAAAGAGCAGAATATAAGGAGACTTTGGATCCTATTGATCCATCCCAATAAGATGCTGTTTACAGCAGCTGTGAGACTGCGGCAATTTGCAGCATTGGTTTAAAGTTCTTAACCTTGCATCAGCAGGGATTACTGAAATGAGGTTTGATCTGATAGACTTTGATGGGCCCCTTATATCATCAAGGTAGAATGCTAACAAGAGTAAGGAGCTCCTGGCCAACAAGGAGCTCTCGTATGAAGGTATGACCTACATACATCTGATCCCGACAGAGGTTGGTGGCTTCTGGCTTCAAGAGTTGTCTGCAAGTTCTCAGTTTCCTGTAGGAACACATGTAGGAATTGTGAAGTTCCTGCTTTAGAGGATATCACACTCCTCTTTGTGTCCTGAGCCACCAAAACAATCCAGAAAAAAATCAGCAAGTGTATCCATAAGAAACTTATATTTCATGGTAATGATTAAGGGAAACACGTGAACCCTGATGGAGCAAGAGGAGAATAGGAATAATTTTTCTTACATCTCCTCCTTTCACTCACTCACTTTCTCCTTTCTCCTTATATATTTATTTGTGCCTTATCAAAATCCAATCAAATGAAAAGTTAGAATTTTCACTGTGAAAACATTTACTTGTTATTTAACCTTTTCAGAGACATGCTGGTGCATGGGTTGGATGCTCTGAGAAGTGCTGGGACTATATAGCACCTTACACTGGACTCCAATTCATCTCTGCTCACACTACTTCCCTAGCTGCTATATACATTCCCTCTCCTCTCCATTGCTCTGGATTGTCCCAGTTCTGTGCGTCCCCTACTGCAAATCTTCTTCCAACCCTTCTTATGATTTTATAACTTTGAGAAAATCAGTGCCAATACTTCCTGAAAAGTCATGTCATGAAGGAAATAGAGAATCAATGGCCACTTTTGAAAATCTTGCCCATGTGACCAGCTCATATTTGTTAGAGGCTGTGTAAGAACACAGATGAAGAAGCTTCTCTGCTTCAAACTCAGGTGTTTGAAGAATCAGAACAATAGACTGGACCAGATCTGCTTCAGCTTTCTAATACGAATCTTCCATTTTTAACTTCACAGCACGGAGAAAACTATAGAACCTAAATAAAGAAGATAATGGATGCTCATTTGTAAGGACTTTGAATATAAACAAACAGACAAATAAACAAAACCAGCTTTACCTTGCCATAAATCCAAGGTAATCTGCTTTTCTCTAGTATCTTTGTAATGAATTCTCATTAGTTTACAGATGGAGTAGTGGCACTTAAGTGGATAATGTAACATGCCATCTTTTATCTTTCCTCGCTCATCTGATGGATGCCCAGAGAGTCCCTAAGATGTCCTTACTGTTGAACTCCAAACAATATGAAAGTCTTCCACATAATGTTGTAAAGTTATGATGATTTTGAATGAACGTAATTTAGAAATAAGTTATTCAAACAACACACAGACTAATCTGAACTGAATGTTAATAGAGAATTGCCCTAGTAATTGAGATGAGAGGAAGGACTTTCATAAGGCTTGTTTCCAGATTTTGTTTAGGCAGGGTTTACGCTGAGGTGATTCTCTTGGATTTTATTTACATTAGCATACATTTGGACTAAGTGCAATTACAAGTACTTCATGTTTCTATCAGAATCATATCTGTCTTCCAGGAATATAGCACATGGGGAGTAATTGTGAACGTTCTGTGTTTTTTGTGTAAGAAACACGGGAAAGCCTTTGGGAATTGTCTAAAGCCAATTAAGTTAATCAGTCCTTATCACTGCTCATTCAAGTTAGAGCAATTGGCGTTGCTTACTTAAAGACAATGGCCTAATGTTACATTATTTATTTTCTATTTCTGACAAACAGTATAAGACCATATTCATATTCAGACCTTCTCAGATGTGTATTTTTCAAATTTTCTGACAAATTCTGTCATCAAAATTCACTTATATTCCCTTGAGAATTTAGGGAATGGAAAACGTCACGCTAATGTCAAGAAACAGATTTTGACTGTGACAGTCCATAACTAAATTGAAGGAATATCACCAATTAATTTGAACTGAAAACTTGACCTGTCTTATAATTATTTTGCTACGGTAAGAAATTTGTTTTTCATCTTAAAATCACATTTTTACTTTGTTTATTTTTTAAAAGGACATCTACGATTTTCCTCTGAGAAACAGAATAATCCCTAACAGAGTAACCATTTAAATGTATGAAATTTGAAATGCTGTTGGAAATAGAAGAGCTACCCGTGTGAGGAAAACAAATTAACAAATTGGAATCTAGTCCAACTCTTTGTTCAGTTGATAGGTACAGACATTTAGATGGGACTATGCATCTTATTTCCCAAGTACTGTTGACTTTTCTGATTACTCTGCAGATATTCATAGGAGGAAAAAAAAAAAAGTAAACCATGTCATACTCTTTTGGTGTGTGATCCATATTGACTTCACTCAGAAGAGGAATTAAATTCAGGGAAGAATAGGTAACCGTGTCAGAACTCAGGTCAGTTCTGTCCCACATACTTAAGAAGATATTCTGACAAAGACATTATTCTGACTGACTTGTTTAAATTGTACTTGAGGACCTACAGCAAGAGAAGCTGATTTGTCATTGTCCTGTGCAGAAATTTACAGGGTAGTAACATAAATGCAAAGCATACTACAGCCACAGATACAGTGTTTTACTCTGTGTATTAGCACTTTATGCCTATTTTGCTAAAGATCTAATATAGCAGGTAAGGGGTGATGCAGATACCAGAGATATATCCCAATTAGTTGACTTCAGTAATGGAATGAACCATGAGCAAGTCTCATTCTGTGATAGCTCAGCCTGTCTTCTGTACAGGTTTGCTATAACAATGTTACTGTAATGGGAACTTCTTAAATATTGAGACATATTTCCCAATTTCTTTTTTTAATCTAGGTATATGATCATCTAAGTGCTCCATAGAGAACTTTATGTAATCTAAGATTTTTGTCCTGAGACAAAATAATTTCCACTTCAATTTTAATGTTGGCTTGATAATATTTATACATTTTGTTTATCCTTTGACTTTTTACTGTGTTAGACCATACAAATTTGCTTCTTGTATTCTACATGTAGCAGAACTCACCTTCCATGTCTAACACAGGTTTGTTGCCATGAATTACATCTATCTATATACACACACATACACAATATTTATATAGATATATATACTTTATATTTAATGAATGCACAGGTTTTTACGGTGCGTGGTTTGGAAATGTGCATAATTCCAGGTATGGCTGCTACCTGAGCCACATATAATCATCTTATCTAGAGATTTATATATAATCCTCCTTTGATATATCATTATGAATACCCTTGAACTTTGCAGTAATGGATCTGTACCGCATATTTTATTTGCTTTATTTTTACTGTTCAGGAAAGTCCTAATGCAGTGCCAAGGAAGATTTGATATTCGAGCTACTCAACTGATCAGAAGGGAAACAGAGAACTGAAGTGCAGTGTGTCCAAAATAGTGTAGAACAGCCAAAATAGAAGGGAAATAAAATGAAGGGAAAGCTTCAGGACTTCAAGGAGATTCCATAAGCATTGCCAGGTGAATGGGAGTCGTCCCTGCAGACGAGATTCAGGGTCTCCCTGCAACTCAGACCTGGCCACCTCAAGGCTGGGAGGCTACACCTGGCTGGGCCTTCTGGCCTGTCAGAGCAACAGAGAAGAGCTATGGCTGAGGTGTGGTGTGTAGATAGGAAAAGGAGAAGGCAGGGCTCATCCCCTCTCCCTTTCTTCTACTCTTCAAGCCAAAGCTGCTGCCTCAGGCATCCTCATACCTCTCTGGGCAGCACCCACACTAAGTGCTTAGCCCATGCAGGGCTTTTGCCATCTCTAATTTAATAGAGAGGTAGCAGTTTTGCCTAGAGCTGGCTATGCTTCTCCATGCAAGAGAGTCAGAACAGTGATACACACTTGCTCGTGTCTGACCTTTCAGAGACTGGGGAGATTTTTCATGTTCCTCTTTATTTCCCTTATTCCTTTACCTGAACTTGAACGATTGGTTTGGGAGTGCCATTCCCTACCACGTTAACCTGCAGCCAAATTCCCTTCCTACACACCATGCAGGGCTTTTCTGTGTTTCTTTCTGCAGCTTACACAACTTTTATCAGGAAAATAAAATCTGAAGCAATAGGAGGTAAAGCTATTTAACATTTTCTATAAGTCAATAGAGTTTCATATGTAGAAGTTACAGTGAGGTTTCATGAGTGCATGGTTGAGAATCATTCTGTTGTAGCATTCTGTAAAAAACACAGTACAGAAGACGTACCTGACTTACATACGTGCAATATATGCTTCTGAGTGCTCCATCTTTGTAATTTCTTGCAAATCCTGCTCTGAAAATCAGACCTCACTTGGGATGGAAGGCAGTGGTTTTCTTCATTACTACACTGGCAACCAGCAACAGACCTGAACTGAGAACAAAGTTGGCGTTCCTCAATGAACTATTTCTAATTAACATGATTGGAAATCACACAAGAAGTCTCCTAACATTTGCAAATGGCATTACAAATGATGTAATTAAGTCACCAATGGAAAAGGTTCTTATTGGGCTTTTAAAAATAGATATACATTTTATACACCACAGGGAAATTTGTCCCCCAGAATTAATGAGAAAAAAATGCTTGAAGTATTGCTACAGAAAAATTATTATGAACAAGTTTCCTACGTTCTGAGTAATTATTATTACTATTATTTTTGTCCTACGGCTTCTTGCATATTTTCAAAACCTAGAAACATAAAGCAACATGACATCTTTCACCTCTGCCTTGTCAAGAGATCGATCTATTCCCCTCAGCCATTGAACAACGTTTCTGTAACTGCCCTTGCATTCCATACATTCACATTCTTTCCACTTAACCCTTTTAGAGGTCTTCTGTCGAAACTGCTAATTGCTGGGCATCAACACACCTCCAGTGGCTGCCCAGTGGCCATTTAACCTTTGGGCCCTCAGGATACTGAAATGTAGCTGTTTCTGAGCAGATTCCCTAAACTGCCTCTTTTACATTTACTACTGTGTGCTAAAGTCCAATGCTCTTTCACAGGCCAGACAGAGATTTCCGCAGTGCATAGCAGTGCGGCCGAGTGCCCTTGCAGAGGCGCGAGGAACAGAAACATAGAATCATAGAATCCTTAGAGTTGGAAAAGACCTTTAAAGATCATCTCGTTCAACTCCCCTGCAACAAACAGGGACATCCACAGCTATATCAGGTTGCTCAGACCCCTGTCCAGCTTGGCCTTGAATTTCTTCATGGAGGAGAAATGAAGTGCCCACCACATCTCCGGCAAACCTATTCCAGTGCCTCAGCACCTTTTGTGTAAAATACTTTTTCCTTATATATAACCTAAATCTCCCCTCTTAAAGCTTGAAACTATTTCCCTTTGTCCTATCACAACAGACCCTGCTAAAGAGTCTGTCCCCTTCCCTCTTACAGCCCCCCTGTAGATACTGAAATTCTACTCTCAGGTCTTCCCAGAGCCTTCTCTTCTCCAGGGTGAACAGACCCACCTCTCTCAGCCTGTCCTTGTAGTAGAGGTGCTTCACCCCTTGCTTCATTTGTGTGGACCTCCTTTGGACATGCTCCAATAGGTCTATGACTCTCCTGTACTGAGGATTCCACATCTGGATGCATTTCTCCAGATGAGGCCTCACCAGCACAGAACAAAGGGGCAGGGATCACCTCCCTCAAACCTGCTGGCCCTACTTCTTTTGATGCAGCCTGGGATGTGGTTTGGTTTCTGGGCTGTGAGGGCACACAGAAAGGTTATTTCAAATAAATCAGAACTACATACATTTTTTCATTGTTGCTATTAACTAGGACACTCAAGCAAGCCTTTATTGGAGGAAGCAGCAGTTCAGGGATAGAGTTTTATTTCCATTTTTATTGACAAAGCAATAGATGGGAGATGAACTGGGAAACTCACGTGAGCTGTATTGCAGCTGAACGCCCTGCAAATCTGTGTGAAGTCCTATGGTCACGGGACAGATAGATCTATAGATGTATGCCAGGGTAAAACAACATGAATGACTCCGAAAGGAGAAGGCTGTTGCATCACATCTCACCAAATAGCTGTTAATTCTTCTTAGTGTGAGATCTTTCTACACCTCACATAAAATAAGATTCCTTTTGTGGGAAAGTTGATGCTATAATATTCCCTGTCAGGGTACTGACAGGGATGAGTACCTCTTTCGGCACAGAAAGGGTGGAAGGCCCTTCAGTGGGCTTCAGAGAAAAGCCCAATATTCTCTGCTGTGTCGTCACAGTGGCAGAGATGAAAGTGTGCTTTCTTTATTGCCAACACTGATCCTCAAAACAGTCAGAGGATCCCAAGCCACCTCAGCTCTATACCTCAAGGAACATGAGCCAGGGTGTTGAGATTGCTCTGATTTCTCTTAATTGCCTCCTTTGTTCCACAGAGCCAGATGCGGCTATTTCATTTAGACTTTTTTTTACAGATTTAAAAATAGAATAAAATATAGGTTACAGCAAGAGTTGCCTAAAAACTCATTAGACTTGAATTTCCCTATGTTGTATCATGATGTGAAAGCAAACCAATGGCAGATGGGGAACTACACATATAAGAAAACCTCCCTTGAACATCCCCTTAGCCCAGCAGTCAGATTTGACCAGTATTACGGTATTCACTGAACAGATCTTGTCCACGGAGTTTGAGCTCTGATTTGCATAAACGTAGAAATAACTTACAACTAACACTTCATAAACGTGTCCTGCTTCATTTCCCTAAAAAAAAAAAAAAAACAACACAGAATGTAGGTGCTCACCTGGCTGTACAAAGAGTTTGAAATGACTATAGGAGAGTGTTCCTAGGCAAACAGGATCATGCTCTTTATTTGTAGTTGGTGAATTTTCTTCTCATATGGAGTACCTGCTATAATTGGAAACAGTTCTTCAAATGTTAACTCAAGTACAAAACACATAATCTTGAGCAGTAGCACTCAGGACTTTCTTTCATTGTGTGCTACAAAAGCAGCAAGCCATGCAGGAATTTAGTCAGTATCTGATTTGTTGGCTGTCACATTAACAGATTGCATTGGCCTTACAGCGTCCAAGTGAAATTCTCCCTGAGTAGAGTCTCATCCATGCACACAATAATGTGATGGAAAGTACAGCAATAATAGCAGGATGGCAAAGCCTTTGGCTGCAGCAAATGAGGGCAAGCCTAAACACAGCAGCCACAGAAGCAAAGGAAGAAAGACTACTTACCTTTAGAAGGCCACAGGTGAGCAGAGATCTCCAGCAAGATACTTTTGCGTCCGCTGTCAACCCATAAATGTGGTCTGGGAAGGGGTGGATCCTGGCTCCAACCCCTCCCGTCACTCAGGTTCATTGCATGCACCTGAGCTCCCCTGGGTTCACCCTGCCTTCCCAGCAGGTGCTCCATCACTGGTTCAAGCTGTGACTGAGTTTTTCCTCTAAACACACATATTTGCTCTGTGCAAACCTGGGCTGAATCTAACACTTCAAAAAAGAGCCTCCCATGAGCTGTTAAGAGGTGTTCATTGAAAACAAACACTGGAAACAACTTTTAAATGCACAAAGATGCCTTAGGCAAACTTTAAAAGCAGTTACTTCACTATAATATAGCATAGTCATTGCCTGCTGCAGTGCTGTGCATGAATGGAGTATATTTCCCTGAAAAAGCAGATCTGGTCTGGACAGAGGCTGCCCTGTGCACTTCTGCGGCATTTTGGGGATTTTGCCTCAGAGCAACCCAAGGCCTGTTTACCTTGATTTCCTGTAGGCTGAGACTGAAGCAGTATCAAGAGCAGACTGCCCCAGCCTTTAGGAAAGTCACAATGCTGCTTTGAACACAGCCTGCCAAAGCCCATGATGGTCCAACTCATCCTGACTGGGAGACAGAGCAAGGAGACGGAGATGTGCTGGCAGATGGTGACCCACGGGGAGGCGAGAGCTACATGCTGCACTTTGGCAGCCAGTGACAAGGACAACTTAAGTAACCTAGTTTGCTTACAAAGGGGTGGGGCTTGTTTGCTGCTTCCCCTAAGCCCCCCATCTTTAGTCATATAACTCTTAAAAAAAGCAACACAATGATAATTGACTTATCTCTGGGAAGGTGTACTTCTAATGCTGGCAAAATGTAATAGAGCTGGTTTAAGATAGTTAATTTTTTCAGCCTTTGATGCAGTTTCACTTGTGTAGATGAGCTGAGTGATGAATTTTCTTCACTCAACAAGGCACTGGTGAGTAGTTCAGTCTTCACTGTTACGTGGCCTGAGTACCCCAGCTAAAGACAGAAACCCACAGGAAGTCAGCAGAGGCTTTGTTATGCTTTCTGCATGCCTTTGCCTTCAAAAAAAAGAAAAAAAAAAAAAAAAAAAAAGTATTTGCTTGAAATAGGCAACAGCCAAAGGGGAAATAACTTGATTTCTCACAGTTGTTTTGAAAAATCATGCTCCTCTCTCTGCCTCTATCCATTAAAAGTAGCTTGCTATCTAAATGGATCTCATCTAAATTAATTGTACTGTCTCTATGTAGTGATTCCCCAAGGAATGCCTGCTCTTGGCTGATTGAGATAATAATTAGTTATATGAAGATAGCCCAGGAAAATAAAAATAGGCTTCTGTCTTAATTCAGGTGAATAACAGGGTCCCACACACATGGAGCTTGCCATAGTCACTTTGCTGTCACCTCCACTGCTCCCTCACCTGAGCACCATGCTCACTTGGTCATCATCTCTGCCACTGGCTTATTTACAGCTTTATATGTTTGCATTAAAAAAAAAAAAAAAAACAGAAATATTTTGTTGGAATGAGAAATGCTTTCTTAGTAGCATTTAAGAATACTGAACATTCAAACTCAGTAGTTGCAACAGCAGCTGCTATTTATGCTGCTCAGCAGTGAACATTTCATGCTCCTGAAATACGTCTATTTCCAGTGCGCCTATTAAAAATAAAAGCATTTAACTATTAAAAAAAAAAACAACCAACAATAGATCTTCCTTTATAATTTAGCTCTGACCAGTAATATTTACATTTCAAAGCTCAGACTTAATTTGAAAATAACTATATTACAAGAGAGCAGGTGTTAAAATTGTTCCCGTGTTTGTTCCAAAACTTTCTGTATGCTTTACTAGTCCATAATTCTGATGAATACACTGAGAAGGGTTCAGGAAATTTCTTTCCCCATGAGAAATTGTTTTCAACAAGGACAGGATTATGAAGCCTCTGGGTTTGTCATAGCAGTTGGTAGAGCCCAGAGTCTGGGGAGCTGCACTATCTGCAGCACGTACAGGGCTCAGAAATGAATGCACCAGTTCCCCTGGATTAAATGCAGAGCAACTCCTTCACTTGGGTGCTGGTGCCTTGCATTTCCTCTCACTGACCAACACTGCAATGTGGCTCTGTGTAACCTGGCTATTTTGATGCAATCATTTTGCTGGAAATGATCACAGGATTATTAAGATTGAAAAACAGATTTGACTCAGCATTATCATTTTTTAACATTCATTTTTCATGTGCCATCTATTGATTGTGGCAGGGAGATCTTAACCTTAAACTGAACATCCACATTCTGTAAGCAGCTCCAATTTTTGTGAAGAGCAAAACCCATATCCAGTCCTGAGTACCCTGAAACTTTATTTGGGAGTGCTGTGACCAGAGATCATGCCTCTTTACTCGGAGCCTCAAGTCTGCCTTAGCAAGCCTGGAAGTTTGGAAATTAAATCAGCCTTCCCTTTAAGATACTGTATTAGTTGCGCCCCAAATTTGTTGAAGGAATCTAAACAACTCTGATAGGAAGTTAGAAACAAGGAGGAAAAAACTGGCTGAATTCCTATATCCAAATATTTTTACAGCATGAGAAATTGAACTAATAATGCTTCTGTCTGGTTAACAGCTGTCAAAGGATGAAAAATAAGCTACTGCAAAGGCAGTCGATCACTCCCTCCTTTTAATGTGGTATGAAATCCATAAAGGCATTTATACTGCATCTTAATGTGTTTTATGGAAAAATAACTGGTAGCTCTGTTGAACAGATGCCAGTTTTTAACAAGCAGCGTCTGGTGCTCACAGAGGCTTTCTACGCATGTGTATTCTGCAGGAAAAAGATGAGTTTGCATTCTGTTTGTGACTGTGAATTCATGTTTTGTAACATTTCCTCTGCTCCCTCTGCCTGGGCTGGGTCATGGTGACATAAGCTTTCATTCACAAAAACACACTGGAGCTTCATCCAATCCCTCCCTCCCTGCGCCCATAGCCATGCACCTGCACAGTGCAGGCTGCAGCCCCATGAATGCAGCACTCTCAGGGGCAGGACCACGTCGAGTCCTGTTGGTTTCTGAAGCTGCTCTTCTAACATCATTTGCAGGTTGCCCTAAATCACGTGCTGAGTCCTTTAACCAGTAGGTAATGATACCACTTCCCTGTGTGACACAGTGAGAATTAATGTGGGCAAAAAGCTGAGTGTTGAGCAGCCTATATATAACCACAGAGAGCAGCTTCTGAAATCAGGAAGACAATTTTTATGATGAATAGTACTGGGCAGTGAAGCACTCAGTGACTGTGCACAGAAAATGTGTAGCTCTGGTTACTGGAGAGTTTGCTTTCCCCTATGGCCCTGCTGTCCAGAGGGGTTCTTGGATGGACACAGCTGGATACAGCTGTAATGATGATGGTCTGCAGCATCCTCCTTGCCCTGCCTCAGAGGAGATAACACTGCATTAGGAAGTACTAATGCGTGGCCTCAGCCCCTTTGGCTGCCCTCCTCCTCCTTGCAGACCCATTGCAGCTGTTAGATCAGTGAGTGTGGGGTGACTGCAGGGGAGTATGCCCTGCCCAAAGCACTCAGTCATAAGAAAGGAGCAAATCCAGGACTTTCTGTCATTGTTCAAGGAAAAAGAATCAAGGGCTCCCAGCACTCCTTTATATCTCACAGAATCACAGACTTGTAGGGGTTGGGAGGAACCTCTGGAAAACATTGGGTCTAACCACCTGCTAAAGCAGGTTCCCCATAGTACGTTACACCGGAAAGCGTCCAGATGGGTTTTGATTATCTCCAGAGAAGGAAACTCTACAGCCTCTCTGGGCAGCCTGCTCCACTGCTCCATCACACTCAAAGTAAAGAAGTTTTTTCCTCACGTTTGTATGGACCTTCCTGTGTTCCAAGTTTGTGCTGGATGCCTCTTGTCCTGTCACTGGGCACCACTGAAAATAGCCAGACCACATCCACTTGACTTCTGCTCATTAGATATTTGTAAGCATTGGTAAGAATCCTCCATCAGTCTTCTCTTCTCCAGGCTGAACAGTCTCAGGTCTGTCAGTCTTTCCTTGTAAGAGAGATACTCCGGGTCCCTCGTCACCTCTGTGACGCTCCATTGGACTCTCTAGAAATTCCCTGTCTTTCTCGGACTGGGGAGCCCAGAAATGTACACAATACTCCAGATGTGGTCTCAAAAGGGCTGAGTAGAGGGGGAGGATGACCTCCCTTGACCCACCGGCCAAACTATTATTAATGCACCCCAGGATCTCATTGACCTTCTTGGCCACGAAGGCACATTGCTGGCTCATGGCCAACCTGCTGTTCACCAAGACACTCAGGACCTCCTCTGCAGAGCTCCTTCCCAGTGGATCAGACCTATCCTGTACTGATGCATGCAGCTATTCCACCACAGGTGCACAACTCTGCACTTGCCCTTATTACTCCACCAATTTGTCTGGCTGTAAAGGCCAGGCTTCCCACATTTGAACCTCACTCCCCCTTCTTGTTACTTAAACTTATTGTGCGGTCTGAAGCTGACCTGGTGTGCTCAACCCAGGTAATGCTTTTGATTAATTTTATCAAAAATTAGGAACAGA